CAGAATTGAGAAGACAGCAACAGAGAGCAAATGCCACCTCTGCAAAGAAGCTGAAGAAACAATGGACCACCTAGTTAGCTGCTGCAATGGCATGACAAAGTAGCAAGAATGGTGCACAATGGAATATCCACAAGAAATACCCTTTGCCTGGAAGCAAGAACTGGTGGGACCACAAAACAGACAAAGTAATAGAAAATGAAGAAGCTCAAGTGCTCTGGGACCTTGGGAGGGACTTGATAGGTGGATAAAAATGCCAGATCCGGTCTAAACATCTATCTGACTGTGCGACCAACAGTAATAATAATAAACAACTGGTAGGGAAAGACCACAAGGGGCAGAGAAATGATAATAGTGATATATCTCCAGATGTTCTTTGGGAATTGTTTTTCATTTTTTGAGAGACGAATATTTCATTTCATTTTATTATTTTATTTTCACATATAACATACCCTTCTAATGGATACAATCATAGGGTTGGAAGGGACCTTGGATGTCTTCTGGTCCTACCCCTTGCCCAGGGCAGGAATCTTCAGACCTTCCCAGACAAATGGATGCCCAACCTTTGTTATATTCAGTGATGGAGCACTCTAGACTACAGGAGGCAGGCTGTCCCACTGGTTAAAAAGTCTATAGTCTGGTAATTATTCCTTATTTCAAGTTTGGATCTCACATTTAATTTATTTATTATTTATAGGCCACCCAACTCCACAAGACTGTGGGCACTTTTCAGTATTAAAAGCAAGAAAATAATAAAACAAAGGGAAACAAAGATCATGCATGTTTGGAAGAAAGAAGACACTAAATTGAATAACATCCTACAGGGGCTTGATATTATCCAACCCACTGTCATAGAGAAGGCGCATTTCCTAGGTCCCATTATGTAGCATTGTTTGATCAAAGGGACCTGAATGACCATGCATTTGATCAGTTATATCTGAAAGTTTGTCCATTTCAATTTTAAAATTAATTTCACTTTAATTTGGGGGACTAGTTAGAATCTTCAGATGGTCATGCAAAGTCTGAATATTGGTTTATGGGCCAGTTCTCTGTCAGGTTCGGTCAGCACGAGGTTTCAGGGAAGCACGGGGCTGCAGGGAAGCTCG